CCCCAAAACCCCAAAACCCCAAAACCCCAATAAATTCATAAAAAGTTGTAAAATAATAAATAACGAAACATGAAAACTAGAAGGACTAATCCTCACAAGCAGAAACTCTCAAATAGAGCTAATCCTGAGCTAAACTGTGCATACTCCAAGAGTGGGAGATCCCGAGGGTTATTAGCCTCTGGAGCATTCCGATCCCTTTCCTCAGCCACTAGTTCTAGGACGCTCAAGTCTCAAGCTAAATTTAAATGCCTTCAAGGTAAAAATAATGAGTATAATGATGAGAAAACCGAACAAAGTCAGACCAGATATTGTAGATCAAGAGTCTGACTCCAAGAAATTCAGAAATAAACAGAAGAAAAATAGAGTTACTAAGAGGAATAATAGCCTCTCGTTGAGGTCACTTGAGCGAGAGCGATACATTGTCAAGTCTAGAGCTCCGATCATGAGCACTACTGATAAACAGGAGTTACTTGATGGACTTGAACATGAGTATAGCACTTTTAACAGAAGAACATGAGTTGATAGAAAGAAACATTGGTAATAACTTTAATTCCTTATGTTTTATCTAACAGAGATATAGCATTAACGACTCTATCGACAAATTTCGGAATTTAACATCTTTACCGACAGAGGGAGTTTTGAATGAATTTCAAATTTTTAAAACTAAATCATCCTCCCTAGCACCTAAAATGAAAGAGATGTACTTCAGTGTAGAGCCAGGGGATATTAAATAAAGTCTTAGTCAAGAAGGACACTCAAGAAACTTTAGACTGTTCCAAAGCTCCTAACAAGAGGTCCCAGCAAGCTATTCTCAGGTATTTCTCTGTCTTAATCTCAAGCCAACTCCCTAACAACAATAAAGAGCTACCTCTGAAAGAACAAATCGAGGAATACACAAAGAAATGTGATAAGAAGGTTGGGAGATCAGTAAATAAAATCAACAAATGGAAATCAGTTCCGAGCTCAATGGTTTCTAAGTAAGTTTAACCCCTGATTCATTAGACTCAGCAAGCACTGCAAGACTCCTAGAGCTACCCAAGGAGGGGTGAGTAGTAATACTAAAGAGGAATGGGATCGGGTGAACAAACTTCACGAAGATATTGACAAGATCAATCTTAGCCTTGGTTTAAAAGATAGTCCCAAGATTGATATCCCTGTTCAAAAAGAAACTAATGAGCCTTATAATTGTGTTGAAAATTTTGAAATCATAAATATTTCAAAACCATACAAAACGAGAAAGTTAGCGAGCAGCACACCAGGTAAGATTCATTATAATTTGTAGGGTCGAATAAACTCAGCTTCAAGGGCCCTAAATTTCATAAGATAAGTTACTCTAGAAAACTGGAAAGACCAGAGAATGCTGATAAAATCAATACAATACTTCGAGGTAGTATCGGGAAAGCTACTACAAGTCGAGATTGAAAAATAAATGATTTTGCTAATTCAGATTTGACAAATAGTAAAGTTTAGTCTAAAATTGTAGGAGATTCAAGCCACGATGGGACAAAAATCTTCAAAAGAACGCGAGTCCATACAGATTATCGCACTGCTAGTCATAACAGTATTTGAGTCACTAATTTTATAGGAAACCAAGAAGCACTAAAATCTCTCGAAAGGAATCTAGTAAAGTGTCTCTCGAAAGTAAAAACTAAGAAAGGTGTAGTCCCTATGAAGAGTGAATACAAACACAAATCTTCATTTAGTGCGAGTAAAGGGCTAAATAAATGCCAACAAAAGGTGCAAAATACGAACTGAATCAGTAGAAAACAATCCATTCATAAAAATTTGGCATATAACACATTAGACAAAAGTAAGATATAGCCACCTCCAAGCCCAAAGTAGTCACTGTCCAGCTCACACACGACATCCACCCCAAAACAGCTACTCCTTACCTCCAAAACTCCCAATCCTCCCCACAAGCCCAGGCTCCTCACTCAAATTTCAAAGCCACATTCTGAAGACAAGGCGATGGCCAAAATTTTGGAATCCTTCCTAATGTACAGATCAACCTTACTGATGAACACTTGGGAGTGGGCCAATATGAGAAATCATATTCGAATGAGTCGAGGCAAATGGATATTTCAACTTGTTCGAAAACGTCGAAGGAAGGAAGTGAGATTAGGAAGTTTACGATTCTGGAGAAGATTCGGAATAGGGGTGTTTATAAGCATGCTTTAAGGACGAATAGGAACACTATTACGCGTGAGAAGATTAATGGGCTTGATAAAGATCATTGAAAATCTTTTAACCTTACCCAATCGGAGATTAATTTGGAATCGGCTGATACAGAAAGAGTTGAGATGAATAAACCTTACAGAACACCTCTTATGTCCAATATAAATATCTTTGGAAACTCATTTTCCAAGAAAACCTCAGTGTCAACCCTCCAAAGAACCCCTAAGCATGTTCTTACCAAAGACCCTCAGAAAATCGCCACAGGCAAAATCGATCTAAAACCCAACACCTTGGTCTAAAAATCAAAAAAACTGCTTAAAGCACCTCTAAATCCCTCTAAACTCATTCCTAATTCTAATTCTGAACAAAAACAGTTTTAATAATTCTCTTCAATAATTGAACTTAACAACGGGGTTTTGGGGTTTTGGGGTTTTGGGGTTTTGGGG